GTTTAACCTCATTTCTTGCACACTCAAGACGGCATCGCATAAATCACTTTGAGTAATTGTTCAAAGCAAACGTTAAAATGTACGCGGGTGCGCAGCGCATAGTGCATTTTTATTATATGCACCGTAATATTTAAATTAAGGATAGCATGGGAAAGTTACACTGGAATAGTCTAGTCGAAATACAATAAATAAATATCTTTAAAAACATAACACATAAATAAGACTTGAATCGGTATCCAGCAATTGATTGCTACCATTCATGCTGATCTCTAATGAGCAGGCATTGGTTAGAGCAGCAGCACGGAACGCTGTTGAGCTACCGCTTTAGGATGTGCACGTGTCTATTTTTTAAATCTATAGATTTTAATTTATAATTGTGAAAATCTTAAATTAAATAACAATGTTATAACTTTCAATGTCTTAAAAAAAACACATTTTTTTTCAATCGACGTTGACAATTTAATAAAAAAAGGCTTAAAAGATTATAGAATAAAACAAAACTACGTATATTTCGAAGCAATAAAAGATTCAGAATTATAAATTTATTCTAAAAAACATAATATCATATAAATGAGACGAATTTAATATAAACGGACATAATAAAAAGTATGAAAAACTAATTATATAACAGTTGAAAACCACTCAACTACGTTGGCACAAATGTCCCAACTGTGATAATATTTTAGTAACGTCAGTAATGAAATCGTTTGATTTTCTATTATGTAGGTGTGTATACACAAAATATATGTAATATTTAATACATTCATAACATTAAAATTATATTAAAAAATAATGAACTAAATATGTTAACGTACCTAAAATAACTTCCACAAGCAATCGATTAGAACTAACCTTAATCTTATACCTAACACAGAATACTTCTTCCTTGTCTCTATTTAATAATTAAGTATGTTATTAAATATAATAGTTATGAGGGGAATTATTTGCAGTATTTGTGTCAGACTTCCAGAGTAGATACTCACGATCGCCGTAAAAGCAACGGGTGCTATAAAATTTGTGCAGTCGTGCCATGATAATTTGCTAATAAGTAGATATTCATTTTCAACGTAATATATAACGCTATTAAAAATACCTGTAGCTCTTATTTATAACATTCATAACTTCAATAATACGAAACTAATAGCGTATTTCGAAATAGGAATTCTAATAAGCAGGAATACTTAACTCCATTTGTAATTTAGGCCAAAAGTTATTATTTATACAAAATAAATATTTCTTTGAACGTTAACAATATATTTTTAATTTATTTTGTAAAAATTCGTTACAAGTATAATTAAAAATCAATTATAACATGGAAAAAAAATTACGATACAGCCATGTATTGAACTGGCATCCGTGCTGTTACTCTAATCAATTGAGCTATCGTGTCATTCTACACGTCATCGCCGAATTTTTGCAACCTATAGATACATACACTTCTCGTGCGCGTTACAAGTATTATATTCTTCAGGAAACCTGAGACAAAAAAAACAAATAAAAAAAGCTTAAGTGGGTAGGGGTAAGGAAGATAACCACAAGCAAAGTACTTCGTCAATATCAGTAAAGAAGCAAAATTAAGAGTTGGAAAGATAATATTTATAAAGCATAGTCTTAAAAGAACGAGAGATTGAGCATTTTTCGGATAGTATGGAGAGAGTTAAAGTCGGTGTTTTAACGGTATCAGAATCATTAAAGAAGGACGTTTTATGTTTAGGAACAAACAGGAGAAGATTATCAATAGATCGGAGATTTAACTGGTGAGAACTCAAAAGGACGAATTTCTCTTTTAGGTAAGAAGGAGGTTATTATTGTGTAAACAAATAGAAAAAATCAACATCACATAAATAACAACCTAAGTACTATGTTATAAGTAAAAAGTGGCGATCTTTTCCAGGCAGCCTGGAATCGCGAATGGAAAAAACTAAGTAGATGATGCTACAGATGATCTTGCAAAAAAATTATCTACCTATGGTTTGTGTACTTGTACAATAAATATATTAATTTTAAATTAGAATAAAAGAGGATATATCAAAAAACCATCTGTGCCTGTTTCTTTGGGGAGGTAATTTTTCAGACTTCTGTGCCTTGCCCCACCATTCTTAAAGTATTTAAATACGACTTAAAAGGGACCTCGAGAGCTTAACGCAGAAAGCAAACCTTCAGGAAGTCATATTGTGTCAAAGTAGGTTAATAAAATTCGTATGTGACCTAACTTAGTTCATTAAGAGGAATCTACTTAGTCAGTGATAATCCAGAAATAGTGATTATGTAATTTTAAATTTTAATTATAGTTGTTAAAAAAGATACACGTATCGTACGTCAGATCAGAAGATTTGGATTATAATTAAACGTAAGGTATTTTCATATTGTTATCTGTTATAACAATATGAAAATATGAATGGAAAATCATTTTGTTGGTTTTAGTAAAAAAAATAAACTCCACAGCTAATAATTAACTCCACTCTAATTGTTTCGATATAAGCCGAGATATATCTGTACAGAGATCAACAATAATAATTAAATCGAATTTCACTCGTACATAAATAATAATTCATGTTTGAAAGGACAATAGGCCGCAATTAAAGAGCCAATATTCAATACCTTTGAAGGTGCTCAATCAAGAGGCGAGGTCATTTTATTTAATCATCAGTTACATTCATACTCTATGATCTATCGAGAAGTAACGGTAATTAATTTTATAATTTGCTGCATAGATGGCGGTAATAACAAGGGGCTACGATGAAATGAGACTTACATAAAAGTATTACAGCCTTATTGCTTGGTGGACAATTATTATTTTTTTGTTAATTATATATAAACGCCAAGTTTAACTCCTCCCCCTCCATCTAGACACTGTCGTATATTAAATCAATCTTAATGTTTTATCTGTACTTTTCTTTACTTCTGTTTGTTTCCTGTGTTAATAATGAAATACACATGTGAAATGTTTGTCGGGCTCGTTCGTAGCAATTATCTGAAAATTTCCATATTAAATATAATAGGCGGTAGGAATATCGAAATTACGTACGAATCCTAAACCACCATCTTCATCATCAAAAAGGTGTGGAGCTCAACCGCGTTTCAGTTTCAGCCAGTGGATTTCTGTAGACAGCGCTAAGATGTTATATCGCTGAGGTAATTCACCTTCTAACAAGTGAACCTGAGTGAAGTAATTGTAATTTAATCATTCAATCCGGCTCTAATAATAATCAACGCTTGTATAATATAATACTCCTATGCTATATAAAAACAACCTTTTATATTATTTAAAGAACAATCATTCTTTCGCCATGCACGCAACGGAAACCCACAAAGATGAATAGTTTGGCATGTTTTATTTCTCAACTATATTATTAGTCTCAACCTGTTTTATAGATATATAAAGCCTTCCTCGATAAATGCTTCTACCGACACAAAAATAAATATTTCAATTCGAACCTGTAGTTCCCGAGATTAGTGCGTTCGAACAAACAAACTCGTGAAAAATGGTAACAAGTTAAATAAAAATCGATCATTAATAAAAAAAAATTAGATACTGCAGGACTTTGGAACCGGCGTTAACAGCGTCCCGAGCCGTGGCTCTAGCCAATTGAGCTATCGTATCTCACACGTGATCGTTGATTTCTAAACCTATTGACACATAACAACTTTTTATATCATTAAAAGAACAATAATTCTTTCGCAATGCACGCAAAAGAAACTCACAACGATTAATAGTGCGTTCAAACAAACTCATCACTTCTATAATATTAGTATAGATTGAGTTCTACTCGCGCCAAACTTGTAGCAGTTATCAGCTATTGAAACCCCACCTGTCTAAAGCATAAATACGATAATTGTTAGCGTTTACGGCCGATAAAACTTTGCCGCAAAGTGCGTAACTTTGCACATTAATGCTTATAGCTGACAGAGCTAGAAATTTGTATGCGGCGTCAATGCAACATGACTTTTATTGCAAACTCGTTGCAGTCATTAGCCAGCTTGGTTCTAAGTGAAAATTATCGGAATCTCCGTTTGTACGAGGTTATTTTGTTCGTAAGTGGGCAATAAGCAAATTATGTGCGAACTGTTTGCATTCTCAGATTACTTATTACAATATTCAATTCGCGTTCCAATATTTGATTTTGTGTCGAAATCGGCAGTATAAATGAGTCACTGCTTATTTGAAAGCACACTTTAAAGATATTTATTTTATTTCCTAAATAGCGTATTACGTATATATTATCTTAATTTTACTCGATAATATGAGATTTTGCTTTAGTTATTGTTTATAAGGAAAGTTACTGTGTACTGTCTGTAGTTTGGGCGAGTAGTACACATTTAAATAAAACACTTTAACGGTTTTACCGCGATATATTTTAGTCTACTAGTTACTACAATATATCGTTTAAGTTTTATTAAACCGTTAAAAGTGTTTTATTTAAAAGTTACTGTGTACCTACTCAATAATGAGATTTTCACACAACAAGTTTTCGTCCCTAAATTATTAATACTTGATGTTTCTTGCTTGATTAATCACTTTATTCGATGATAATAAATGATCGTTTAACAAAATTTTGCTTTTTATTTTATTTAAAAATTTAAAACTTACGACATTCTCCAGTGATAGCTTTATCTGATACTAAAAACCGTTTCTAAGTGTTCACACGCAAACCCTCCAATATTTCATCCTTATGGATCCTTATCGTAGATACAAGAGATTAATTAAGAGTGTAAACAATGATCTATTTAGGAGTCAGCGGGGAAGCGGGACGCACGCACGCGCAGCCGAAGTACGCAGGATCCGCGGCTCACCACTCAAACTGAGTTTCCAAACGTATCGAGACGTTACCGTAAACGTAAGCTCGTATTTTACGTCGCGAGAAACTTTCAGTTCCAACATGCGCCCGACCACTTTCAAGCGGATTTTTGCTAAGTGCTGTGTGTGTGAATTTTCCCACAGAGTGTAAACATTTTCGTGACAAAATTGTGACTGTGAAATGCATTGATTGTTTAGAAAAATGAATGTTCGAAGGAAAAACTACTTGCACACGTCGGAAAAGCCGAAGAAGAGAAGGGTAAGTTGCGATAAGATTTTTATCTGTGGTTCAAAAATGTTTGAATTATGAAGACAACGACAAAATTAATTATGTCAATATTATCTTGCGCGCTAACACCGTCCGTCCTTATCTTATACTTAGGTAGTAAATGTTTATAATAATTTAGTGTTTCAAAGTTCTCGAACTGTCTTCGTCTACTTAACTACTTACATGTAAACGAACATAAATAATAATGGTAGTAAGTTAAGTAAACACACACTTTTAATGCTTAAAACTTAAGTTGGATCGTCAATTGTTTATTTAGTTTTTTTTATTTTTTACGAATCCAGTAACAAATACATTGTATCTTTTCATAAAACTTCAGAACGTTATGGACAAGTTAATTATAAGTAACTCTATTTCTTTTCCCATTTCTTTGTATTGTTATGTTCGAATTCAAGAAACCAAGTACGAATATAATTATATATTCTTTATATTTACTTTTAAAGTAGATACTAAAAAGTTTCTTATTACTTGAAGTAAAAAGGTCAAGTTTCTACAAATAAATAATGAGATCAATAAATAGCAGATAAAAGAGACTTTGTTTTATCAGGAAATTAATTTATGGAAAAGACCGCTTTATTTATGAAATTATGAGAAATTATGATATATGAGATATTTATGATTTTTTGAGAATCTTAAAAGTTTGGTTAACAAGAATTACTTATTTAAATAAAACAGTTTAACGGTTTAAAAGGCGTTATATATTAGTAAAACTTATTTGAAAATTAATTTTACTACTGCCCGATGTTTTAAATAAACTTAACTAATATATAAGGCGTTTTAATTGTTATGTTCGAATTCAAGAAACCAAGTACGAATATAATTATATATTCTTTATATTTACTTTTAAAGTAGATACTAAAAAGTTTCTTATTACTTGAAGTAAAAAGGTCAAGTTTCTACAAATAAATAATGAGATCAATAAATAGCAGATAAAAGAGACTTTGTTTTATCAGGAAATTAATTTATGGAAAAGACCGCTTTATTTATGAAATTATGAGAAATTATGATATATGAGATATTTATGATTTTTTGAGAATCTTAAAAGTTTGGTTAACAAGAATTACTTATTTAAATAAAACAGTTTAACGGTTTAAAAGGCGTTATATATTAGTAAAACTTATTTGAAAATTAATTTTACTACTGCCCGATGTTTTAAATAAACTTAACTAATATATAAGGCGTTTTAAACGTTAAAGCGTTTTATTTAAATTTGTACTACTCACGTAAACTGAAATATTGTCTGTACAATATTAAGAAATACTTACATTAAATATGAAACGAGATAGCCTAGAGTCTTAAATTTAGAAATTGTCACATAAAATCCAGCTGCGGTGAACAAAGAATGTTGCCTTTTAAAAGAGCAATACTTTACCAAAGCATACGCATTTGTTATCGGCAGGTAAAAAACAAAATAAAAGCTAAGATATGCGAGTAAGTACATAGTTTATTAAAAATGCCAAATGTAAAAGCTTTGCTTCAACTTACTTTGATAAAGCTCTCTTTAATTGTTTAAAATTCAAAACATCTGATCCTTTTTGAAAAATGAATGTAGGAATATATTTCACGTTTAAAATGTCTCTTTCAATGAGCGCCATTCGTGTAAATACTTCATTTACAATGTTTTAAATAAACTATAGATATATTTAAACTAAATACTTTAACAGTTTAAAACGCGTAATATAATATGTACTCATTTTTTATTTAAGGCACCTTTTAAATTGTTATATTATATTTTAATGTGTACTACTCGCGTAAACTACAAACAAAGACATGCAATGTGATTTAAGCTGTATTGATGTGAAGATCGTCTTCATAGTCCAGTGATTAACGGAATGTAATAACATTTATAGAGTTGGAATTCCTAGAATAAGAAAATATTACAATACTATTTATTTACAAGCAGTAACAGTATAACTTATCAAATGAAACTATAGCTCATCTACTCTTCATCAAAAAGGTGATCCTCCTTTTTAAAAAGTCGGATACACATAGTCCGGCTGACCTAAAAAGTTTTTGTCCGACCGTTCATGTTTTAGTCGCACTAAAGTGGCTTTAGGGCTATGCCCTTTGGCAGTAATTATAACGTTATCAAGCGGAATTATAAATCAGTATTGCTAAATATAGATAATCCATACATCAATCTTAATTTGAACGTTCATTTATTAAGACTTTTTCAGCCCACGCATCTTAAATAGCGAGTTATTTATATTATTGGATTTCTGCGCAGCCTTTATCGCAGGAATTTATTTAAAAAGCCTTACGCTAATGACAATGATAATAATTTGACTAATATTTTTCACATGATATTGAAATTGATGGTATTGAATAAATGAAAAATCAATTTAAATAAAAAATAATAATTTAAAAAACGTCACGGGCGGGATTTGTTTTGGCATTCACATTCCGCGCTGGTGCTTTAACCAATTACGTCAGAGCGGCAGCACAGAACGCTGTGGAAATATCGTCAAACTCTTTCGGTCTAAATATATTTTAAATTTACAAAAATAATTGAATAACTTTATCCATCAGTAGAAGATATATTCTACCAAAAATCGTTTAACTTTTTTGATTCCGGAACATACAATATGACGGACTGACATTTCGTATGCTTTACAGCAGCGATGGTCACAGATGTCATCACATATACTGTCGTCTATAGTTTACGCGAGTAGTACACATTTAAACAAAACACTTTAACGGTTTAAAACGCGATATATTAGTTAAACTTATTTGAAAACGATTTTTAACTTCGGCCCGACGTTTCGGATGCTTTGCAGCAGCCGTGGTCACGGGGAGACCTCCCCGTGTCCACGTCATAAGTCATGTATAATAAGTATGTGTAATAATCATGTATAATATCACGTCAAAAGTAATGTATAATAAGGTTTCAACGTGCAAAAAAATATGATTGTCATTTTATTGTGTTTTAAATACTTTTATAAAAAAAATGCTTCGGTAGCACTCTATCGACTCACTCTAAAGAGATTTATAAATTTGTAAGCTAGATGTGCACATTTATGTAGGTCAGACTAAAACAGTATTTTTCTGGAATTCGAATTCATTACTTCTTACCCTTAAAGCAATATTGAGGAATAGTTTAACTTTATCCTTATAAAACTTAATAAAGACCATGCTTTTAAAGTCTATATTATGAGTTAATTATCTTTTTTTAATTATCATTGTTCAATTGAGTAAAACGGCGCTTTTCTTTTCTCAAACATCTATTATTCTACGAAAAAGAAGTAATATTTATTATTCCAATGTTAAAAGCGCTTCACGATAACAAAAGATTTTCACAAATAATTAATATTCCAATCGTTTTGCAATTAACATTACAATTGTTTGACCTAGCAATAATATTTATGGCTCCTAATATTTATTGATGTATTGAATTTGATTAATGATAAGTAATTAATTTTCATTTTAAATTATTTTGAAAAAAAATATAAAATAAGCTCGTAAGGTTATGTACGGAGCGTTATTTAATTTAATATTATTTGTGAACTAAACTTTGAGTATACGGTATACGTATTCACTTTTATATTGAGGAAAGACAATAATTGAGACGGTTAGAATTGTTAATTTAACGGTTAATTTTGTCGACACAAAAAACAAACTTTTGGATTTCTTTTTATTACACATCCTCGACCTTAATATGTATTTCTTGCAGGCCTTTTATTAACTCACAGCTTCCTTGTATTAAATGTACCTCAAATCTCTCTTAACTGCACAAAAACTCGATAATGCACGCGTTATAAATAAATAAAATAAAACAGCCTTTATTTCCTTATTATGTATGTTATGGAATATTTTGAAATTAAATGATATTTGGAAATAGCTGTCATGTACGAGATTACTTGAAAGCTAAATAAATAATTTAATTTCTATAAGGAGCGCTGCCGGGTATAATCTCCAAAGAAGTTCATACGTCTCGATTTTGCCAGTATTCCTTATGAGACGCATTAAGATACTTTAATATTAAATTAAACAAGATTATGCGCGTACGCAATAAAATAAAAAGCACTCGCCTAATAACGAGACCCTTTCATCGACACGCCGGTCATAATTTGCGATTCGTGAAGCATGAATGGCAATGTAAAATGAAAATGTAATTAATTTTGAGTCGTGCCTCCTTTTAGTGATTTGATTATCAAGCCTTTTGCCCTATCTTTTTCGTAGAGTCAATATCGCTAACGTTAAATCAGATAGAAGATTCTAGCACTTACTTCTGAATTTTCATTTAGTAGTAGAATATAATTTTAGTAAAAATTAAAATTATAGTCTATTTATTAAATATCTAGATAGACGTATTTCATATCGTTAAAAGGGACTGTTATAACCTTCGTAATAACAGAGGAGAAAATTTTACATTTTCTTTATACATTTTAAAAAGATGCGATGTCAGCTTTTTTTTCTTTGGACGTTCGGAAATCTTTAGAATGATTATGAAAGGCGGATTTACACTTACATTTAATATTATTAAAAATACAAGGCCTAAAATGGGTCGATTTGTCATTACAATTAACAGACTAACTAATTATAATGTATGTATTCGTTTACAATTACTACCTACCTATAAATAAAACACTTTTAGAATGAGAAATCTATCTTTTTGCTATTTTGAAAATCAATAATTAATGTTAGCCTATTTACAAGAGTTTAATCACTATTATATTATCGCCCAAAACTTTGAATTGAAAATCAAATTTGAATTATGTATAAATACAGTGTAGGTTTTCCATTGGAAAATTACAGTTTCCCTTCCAAGGTAAGTCTGCCTTTGATATAAGCCATATTATAATGCGTCACAAAAGTTTTCCAATCAAACTGCGCTTATTACCTTGTACAAATAAATTGTTTACAATTTATATGGCATCATACTTTTCATTATCAATACAATGTAATAGAGAAACAGTATTGTTATTCACTCGATATTTATATTGGAAGGTTTGCGTCACAGTATGTTAATGCAT